TAATAAATATAAATTATAATTTTTTCATAAATTAAGCTATTAAATTAACATTTTGAACTGAAATTATTTCAGGAATTATTCATACAATTTTTAACAAAATTTCGGTTGTCCTCTATATAGCAGAATTACTTATCCTAGAGTCATGTAAAATCATGTTTCACACATTACTGTTCATTCACTGGAAGTATTCCTTGTGAAGGAACATGCCTGTTCCTTCACTGGTTAGAAGTTGCTTTTTGTCTTTTCAACAGAATTTTGATGTATAATATGACTAAAAGTACAAGAAAATTAAAAAAATTCTTTTATTTTCATTAACTGGGAAAAAAACCCAGTAAAGGAACACTTGTTCCTTCACTGATTTTTCATCGTTTGGTGATCCAGTGACACCCCCTTATCTCAGTACCTTATTATGCTCTGGTGCTTTAAAAAAAATAAAACGTAACTTCAATAACTATATTTTGAATTCTCTTTTTCACAGGGAGAAAAATAAGACTATTACATGCCACTTCAAACCATTAATTCCACTTCAAACATATAAATACAAACACTCACCTTATAATTTTTTCAACGAAGCAAGGTGTTGCAGAGATAATAACAAATTCAAAAATTTTTACCGAGAAGTCTATTTGACCAGGTAATGCAAAACATTGCTAGATGACTTCCTATTGTTTGGCAGCAAGCTATTGTTACCAATCAATCTAAAGAAAAACTTTCAAATTCTTATTTTTGATCAATATATATGAAATGTTCCTTCACTGGTTGGTTTACCCTATATCCAGCCTATTTATTTCATATTGAACTAGGGGAGGTTTTCGTGATTTTTTTTCCGTAAACCTCGCGCAAATGTGGTTACTTCCATCAAAAAGTCCTCTTCGAAGGCTTCACAGAGTAGTTCCTTGTCTTCTGGTTCGGGTCCGAAGTTACAAAGCTACAGAGTTGAACATCTGTAGGAGGGAACCCAAATCTATGTCAACTGTTCAATATCGGTTAAAAATTAAAATAATTGAATTGTTTAATGTGTGCTATTCCAAACATATAGATTGCGACATAATATGTGAAAATCCTTTTTATATCAAAAGTTACTGAAGGTGATTCACTTTTTCATGCAATGGTTTTTTACAAGTTTTTATGGATTTAAACAAAAAAATTTAGTAAAAAGTGCGAAATTTAGTTACATCTTTAAATATGTGGTGAGGTAAGTCAATTGTTTGTGATATCTGTACAATTATTTGCAACTGTTTCAAAGTAAGTTATCATTTATACACAAAAATTGGCTTAAGTGTTGAATTTCATATCTCAGAAAAAAATTAGTTTAACATTAACATCGTGTAATTTTTTTGCAACAACATATGTTACATTGAAACATATATGAATTACAGGAAGAATTAACTTGCACAACTTAGCATCGTATAAAAACAGTTGCAAATTAAGATATTCAATAGATTTATTAATTTATAAACCTAATAGAAATCTTAATGTAAATAGTATATTTCAAATCCGAATATTTCAACAGTCTAGACATTTGGAAATTTTGATCTATAATCCCCGACATTTTGAAGTAAGGATTTATATTTATTTATTTTCAGCTCTATTTTATGGAATAGTTGCTATTGTTTTGGTAGTAGTGGTTGAGAATATGACTGGAACTGTTTTGCAAGTAAGTAAGAATAATGTATGAATCATATGTAAGCATGATTGAGGTGAGGAATAAGCGAGAAAACTAGCAAAATCTGACGAATCACTATCGGAGAAAGCGGACCTGAAAACATTAAAATATATTTGATTGCCAGAAAAAGCAGAAAGGAGTTTAAAAATAATGTTAGAAACACGAAAAATAATATTAGAAACACCTTTAAGTTTCATTTAGCAATCAAACTGTGACTGTGATGTTATCCTTCCTGCTTCTCTAAAGTGATTCATAAGTCAATAGCATCATCAGTTTAAACGTTATTTTGCAAACCTTAGAGTGTATTTATTTCTGACAAGGATATTAAAAAATGCATATTGTGGGTGCTGATTATGAAACACCCTGCATCTGAGTTAATACCTTCTGACTGAATATGTAAAGTTCTGAAAAATTATTGAATGATGAAAAAAATTTTGAAAGGTTAATAATTGACTGCACACAATCAGTAGTACTACTAAAAAAACAATGTCTTTCAAAATTTGTTGTTTTATGTAACTAATAATAATTATTTTTTCAGGCAGCTTTAAGTATCAGCGGAGCATTGGGAGGTCCAATTTTAGGTATTTACACTCTTGGAATGTTTTTCCCATGGCCATCAGCTTTCGTGAGTATTTTATTGTTTTAAAATTTAAATTAAACACATTTAGTTAAAGTTATTCATTATATATTAATGTGTAATTCTGATACATTACTGATATAAAATGTAATTAAAATATTCATCACATCGTCACAAGTTAAATGTCAATTTTTTCGGGTATTTTTTACGGATAGAAACTGTGTAGATATTATATTTTTAAATGCCATTAAGTTTAAATTAGTATTTTTTATTTTAAGTGTTAAAATATTATCATGCTGATGAATGGTATAAATTTTTTGCAAAAATTTAAGATTATCAAAAATAACTTTTCTTGGTAGCTATTTCCTAAATTATATTTGGTAAAAAAATTATAATATTAGTTTAATGTAATAATTTTTTTACTAGCTCAATTTGAAAGGAAATATAAATTTGTCATTTATTTTATAAATCATTTTTCTACTAGGAATGCCTTAACTCGTTCTTTTCAAAGCCATACCTAATAAACGAGTAATGTGTTCACTTAAGAAGTGAAAAAATATTGTAATAGGAATTTCATCATTAGTTATATAGGAGTATTATTTATATAGTGTAATAAGAATTTCAATATTAATATATATTATAAGTTATAGCTAATATAGTGCAGGAAACACGCACAATAAATATTAGGATGCTATGTAATGTGCAGTTGCATATTTTAAAACAGTTCAGACAGATACGAAAGGAATTTTTATAAAAGACATATCAGAAACATTTTTGAACAGCAAAAAAATTTGTCAGATTTTGCACACTTAAGAGAATAGTACGGTCAAAGCTAACAGAATATGATAAATTTTACCATGTTTCTGTCTGTATGGGAACACCAAAAAGATCGGTAATTTTCAATGAAATGCTTTGGTAATGATTTTGGTAAAATTAACAATAAAATGTGGTTTAATCTGTGTTAAGATTTGAAAAATGTGCGAAATTTTGGTAATTTATCGTAATACCTTCGAGCATGGCAAAAAACACCATTTATTCGATTAAACTTACTTTTCCATGTTGTAATTTGTACTAAATGTAGTAATAAGAACTATAATTTTAAAACATTAATTTCCGGTAAGCCGTTACCATATGAGTGGAAAGATAACCGAATAGAATACTTAAATACCTAATATTTTGGCTTTATTAACCCAAATTATGTTGTTTTTCAACCAGAAATGTCTTTACCATTCAGGAACGGTAATTTTGCCGGAATTTTTTTTTTAACTTGTACCGTAAACCGGGGCGAGTCAACCCATTTTTTCAGTTTGTCAACTTTCAAGTGGTCAAACTTTTGTAAATATTAAAGAAAAAAGGTTTTTAATAAGTGTTTCGGAATCGCTATTTATCCCTCTTTAAAGCTGTGAAATCGATTTTTGAAAATATTAACAGTTACGCTGTTACTGTATATTTTTATAGAACTGCTGACAAATCTCTCGTATGGTGCGAGTCTACCCATTCTACTAAAATGAATGTTGATATTGTAAATAATCAAATTTTACTATTAAATTGTTATTTTAGTTACTATATAGGATATTTATGAAGTAAAATTCATAACTTTATTATATATTCCATTTTTTTATTCATAAAATAACACAAATTGAGTATTTGATCGATTATCACATTTTGATCACAGTTTTGTTTTTATAATCATTAACATTATAAAATAACATTTTTTTCTGATTATTGTTGATAAAAATAAATTAAAATTAATATAAATTTACAATTAAATAATTAATAAATAATAATAATTAAAGATTATTAACAAAATCGAAATTCAAACATTGGGAATCATGAAAAATCCTTTTCCCATTCTTTTGGGAGGTAATAATAATTTATAAATAATAATTTATTTAACTTGCATTAAATAAAAAAAGTTAATTTTGTAATATAAAAATTGAAAAAATAGGTAAAATAAACATATTTTATATTTACATTTATATTTAACCTATAAATTTTCTTATTAATGATAAATTTATCAATGCAGAATTAAAATAATATACTCAAATTCATTTAAAATGACTTAATTTTAATATAAACAAAGTTCTAAATTATATTATTATGCTTTATTAAAACTAAATACGAATGGGTAGACTCGCCCCGCGAATTCTGGCTTTTTGTTTACAACAGCAAAACTTACATTCTTTTTGTTTTTTTTTACATATAAAATTAATGTAATCTTAGTCTTAGATAAGTTTATCACTTAACCAAAGTGAAAATAGTAATAATAATAATATACTTACGGAGCACCAACTAAAAGTTTGCTGATTTTCAATACAAATCTCTCAAAAGACGTTTGAGCAGGTCGGTTAAAAAGACACCAAATAAATAAAAACGGATCAAACTACTACAGCGCCATCTTCCTTAGAGTCTGAACTAAGTCCTCCGTCGGTAAAAAATTTTTTATTTGCAATTTAAAATAGTGAAAATTAAATAAAACTAAAATGGGTAGACTCACCCCTGGATGGGTAGACTCGCCCCGGTTTACGGTATCTTATTTCGTATAGAAAAAGCTTGCAACCATTTAAAACATCCATTTTCACAGTTTTTTTTTAATGTGTAACTAATTAGTTTTTCTATTAAATATTGTGTTCAATTTATTTCGCCTGTCAAGCATGAAGTTTTTAGCAATACCATTCCTTGTAAATATATAGCGGATAATCTGTTGGTGATTATATTAGAAAAATTATTTTATAGGCTGCATTTATCGGATTAATTAGTGGTTTAGGCATTTGTATCTGGATATGTATTGGATCTATCATGTTTAGAGCACCAAATCCAACAGCAGTACTGTCAGTAGAATCATGTGAAGATTTATATATGAGTGTAACTCAGGTCATGTCGAGTATTTCCAATTCGTCTACTCCAGTATTCCTACCAAGGTAATTGTTATTGTATTTATCTAATAAGAAATCCTTTCAACGGTAGACCAAGATTTCTATACTTTGAACAATAATACGGTGCAAAATTTCTGCAACCTAAATAAAATATTAAATTTAACCATGTCATCATTTAAGTTGACCATACTATCGTGTAATCTGACTTAAGAAGTTCCATCATCGCAAGGATTACTGAAGTCCCTGGATAGCTTAAAGCGCTTTTGTTGGTAAGTTTTAGACTTGGATGTACCATGAAATTGCACAGTTTTGAGTTCGATTATTAAACTTTATGCCTCAAGTTCCCAGTTTAGTGTATAGATCTTATAAAAGAAAATGTTAGGAATAGCAAGGAAATAGGAAAAGTAGTAGGAAGAAAAATCTAACAGCAGTAGTGTCAGTAGAATCATGTGGAGGTTAATTTTGCTATTATTTCATCGTTATATGGGAGATTCTTTGTAAACATGACAATTCAGAAAAAAAAATTTATTCAAATTGTAAGTCTTCAAAATAATAAAAAAAAAATTTTGATATATTTATTTAGTTACATTTATTAATATCTTACAGACAGCAGTGTAGTTTATTGACATTTGCTCAAGGAAAAAATAAAATAGAATATCACCAAATTTTAAATGCTAGGAAAATGACTAGAAGGTCAGGAAAGCGACATATTAGCTTAGAAGTTAAGAAAACAGTCATTTTAAGCTAATAGTAAGTAACTCAACTTAAGAAACTCAAAAAAGACAAAGTTGAGAAGTTAGCAGTCTATTTGCCAACACGAATAATAAAGTTAACTTTAATATCTTTACGAATGACTTCAAAAACTTCTCCTACAATAAAAATGATAAACTTGGGAATTTTTAATTAATTTTATGAAAATTTACATTAAAATTAATCTTATGAAAATTTACTTCGGAAATTTTTTTCTAATATTATTTAAATTTAAAATATTTCAAATCGTTTTAATTTACAACTTCATTTCATTCCTTAATTTATGCACCCAAGCTGCGTTGAAAGACTATGACAGAATTAAATTGTGCAGTGATGTTCTTAGTTTATCCTCTATATTTTTAACTATCTGTGTTTGGAAAAACAATAACCTAACTCCTTTGCGTTAGATGGACCATGCTTTTTTAAAATTAATTATTTTATCCACTGTAGAAAGAATCAAAAATGTTTTTGTTGTTGATATGTACAGAATAAAATTGTGTATAATAATCAATCATTAAATAAACAAATAACTTTAAGTACATACGAGCATATTACAATCTTTCATAAACTGGGTATTAGGTTAACATTTTCTTTCCCTATTTACATTATAGTGTTTAAATTTTTTTCCTATAACTGTGTTAATTTTCTGGAATTTATAAGTCAGGAAAATGACAGCCAGGATAATGACAATTTTGCCATTTTTCAGCATTTAACATTACTTTAATTTAACATTTTGGCCTAAGACATTTACTTATCGCAGAAAACATCAGGATTTCTTGAAATAACTAAGGTAAATGCAAATAGTTTATTTTGTTAATGATTTCAAGAGGACAGAAAAATGACAACATAAAAACCTGCTCACCTTGTAAAATTTTTTGAAATACATTTTGACTCAGAAAGTTGGTTCTTTATTCCAGCAATTAGACTTGTTCTGATAGGATTGTATTCTAATTAGTCTCTTAACCTAAGATATTGGTTGCTGGAGCTATCTATTTTGGTTATAAATTACTAAAAAAAGTGGCCAGGAAAATGACTGATTTTCATGTGACAAACAAATTATTGACAGAAAAAATTATTTTCAACCAAGTTTTTGGAAATAATACCCTCTGCATATTCTAGAAATGCTTACAACGGTTTAGATGAAAAAAAAATTAGATATTGAAAAATGTATGGGAAGTTTTGAAGCTAGTTATTATTGGAAATATTTTTTGTGACATACCAGGAAAATAATTTTGATATTCAATTAAATTTTTTAACTATATAAAACAGTCAATGCTAGTGCAAAGTCATTTTAAAATGCTAACAGCAATGCTATTTATTGAATTTTTTTCAAAAAGTTCTTTTAGTAGTATAATATTAGATCTTGGAGCAAGAGACTGTGAATTGTCATATTTCGTGAGAATCACCCATACATACACGCATATATATATATATATATATATATATACAAAATATTATTTATCCCTAGAAATTTATGAAGCTAAATAACCGTTAAAAATTATTAGTTAAAGAATTTAAACTCTTAATATAGTGAAATTATGAAAATTTTTATTTGAATATTTATTAAAAAATACATAATTAAAGCTATTGGAATATGAGTGAATATGCTTTAAAATTATACTAAATGTTATTTTCAAGCAAACGCTTAGAAACTATAATAGAAAAATATATTCGAAGTGATTAGAAATAATAACACACACCTGGATTTAATAATTATTAATCTGTTCTACTGCCTAAAGTAGAAGATTTTGGTAGTTAATTTTTTTATGCCAAAAGTAATCTACACTTAAAAAATTTCATTTAATCTTTAAGAATATATTTATCCATTTGTACAAAAATGTTTCCGCTATGTAATATTTTGTAAGCAATTAAGCATTTAAGTATTTTCTTGAAAATATTTTTTTATTTGCTGTGAATGCATTTTTAATGCGTTTTAATATATTTTGTTGTTACTCATTGCAATTACTGATTGCAATTCACTGTTAGAAATCAAAGAAAAGAATATAAAGATTTATAATTGGTGTCAGCGATCTCTCTACTGCACCATGAGTCAAAATATTACACTATTACTTTTGAATTTAATTTCCTCCTCTGTACAAAAAAAATCAAAAAAGAAGTTACAATACAAGACAATGAAAAATGCAAGTTTAAGTTCAAGACAGGATGCCGTGAAATTAAGGACACTCCATCATTCGCTTATAACTTTATTAATTCTATAAATATTTTTCAATATTTTAATTATTTATTTACATTATAAAATTAATGTTATTTGATGCAGGAAAAAAATAAAACTTTCTTTTTCAGGGAAGAATTTTTGACCATGTACCGTTTATCATACCTTTGGTACAGTGGAATCGGATGTTTAGTGGTTATAATCATCGGATTGCTAGTGTCTCTTGCAAAAGGTAAGTGGCCTTCCTTCTCGCAAGTAAATAATATCTCATAGCGAAATAGAAGCTTTGTGCAATATCTGTCAAAAGTAAAGTGTTTGATTATACACTATTTACCATACCTTTGGTGCTTAGAGGTTATATTTAACGGATTGCTTCGATTCTCTCTTGAAAAGTAAATTCCAATCGACTTATTTTCGCCTTAAAATGAAATTTGCAGCTAGCTGTTCTCTATATTTATTAAAAAACTTTAATCATGCAACATTTATCATATTTTTGGTATAATGAACTTGATTACTTAGTGGTCATATGTATAGGATTGCATGTTTCTGTCTTGGAAGGTAAATAAAAGCCCATTTGGCGATTATAATACATTTTAAAAATATCGTGAGAAAACATCTCCTTTTTAATACTAAGTATATTTCATAACGTCATCTGATGTTTCATACCTTCAAAGCGTATTAAAAGTAATTGAAATATTTTTATAAAAAGGGTATACTTTCATTCTTACAATGATATTATACCTAAAAAATTTATAATTAACGTTATTTATAAATATTTGTGAGATAAATTCTTTACCTAATTGAACCACACTGCCGGTAAACTATTAAGGTGAAATTTAAAACTTTCCAAATTATTTTACGCCCAAAATATATTTACAAAATGTTTTGTTATTAAACACACCGATAATTATATTTTAACACACAATCATTATCAATTTTTACTTTCAGTTATGGAAAAGGTAGGGAAAAAAGTAATAAAAACCGTTAGCATTAAACTGAATATACAATATTACTGAAATTAGGCAATGTTAATTCATTGTTTAGTACAATTAAAATGCAAAATTGTAGTACGAATATTCCTAAAAGAATCATGATTAGATTTTAAAGCAATTTTTCACCCTCTTTTGTACTTCACACATTTGACATAGCAGCTAGATGCATAACCAAAATTTTAAAATATGAAAAAAAGTATAGAGTTATACACCAAAAACATTGAAACTGAAATATATTTCAATGTGCATTTTTCAAAAAAAAATTTCTTTTAAATTTGTAACTTAACATAATTTGTAGTCTATAAAAAACCTTTTGAATCATGTAATTGAAATTCCAATTATATTCAATGATGATATTGACATTAAAAGGCTTCAAAAAATTTCTTTTGGTTTAATTTTTTCTTCCTTGTTTCTAAATTGTTTCACACTTATCAAATTTATTGAAAACTCATTTATTTTTTAAGCTTACTTATATTATTCATTATTACTTCAATTATTTATTATTAATATTGAAGGTAATTATTTTCATTCTTGAAATACAAGCTAGAATTTGTGTTCTTATCGCTGTTAAACATTATGATTTTATTTAACTTATTTTTATTTACTAAAAACACATGCTAGTCAAGTACTATTTATTATTCTTATCTTTCGGTGTTGTTTTGATGTTGTATTTCATATTGCATAATTTCTGTGTTTTCATTTTAAGTTTAATTTTCAGGATGCTGTGAAGCATTGAAAAACACTGTTAGAAATTTCTCGAAAAAAATGGTTAAATAACATTTTATTTAATTGTTTTTTCACCATATTTAAACAAAACAATCAAATAACTATTATTAAGATGGTAATCAAACTTTTAACTATGAGAAAAACCGTTTATTAACTGCTTTTACCTATTACGGTTATACAACCAGAATTTTATTGCACCAACTAAACCCATCTAATGAAGCCACTTAGTTACTTTCTATTGCGTACTATATTACAGCCGATAGGGATAGTCCGTCCATCTCATGACTGACAGAACTGGTTTCGAGTCCCAGCGCTGACGTCACAATATTTCCTCCATTCCCTTCAACACATGAGGAGTTTTCAGTGGTCCTCCATTGCCTCAAGCTCAAGTTCCAGTGCTCCACTCCTCAATTTGTGTCCTGCACTTTCCAATGCCTATTACCTAACAAAAATCCTAGCTCCTCTGTCCAATTATATTTATTTTTTATTGTTTTGAAACCATGCTAGTTGTAAATGGTGAAAAAAAGTACAGTTTTGTATTTATGGTTTTATAACCATTCTAGTTGCAAACGGTTTCAAAACCGTAAAGGTAAAAAAATTTTCCTTACTGTAAACTTATCGGATGGATGAACGGCTGCCGGTTATTTTACCTTAATTTTAGAAGGAAATTTCTGACGGTTTATATTTTCAGTAGCTTGAGTATTATCGCCAGTCAGACTTGCTGTAACCTTAATAAGTTCATAAATTAAACCATATTTCCGTTGAAGTATATTTTTTAAAGGAGAATATAATATTATTCTGAAATTGATTTACAAACAGGTAATAACAAGCAAGATGTCGAAAAGAGTTTGATGACACCATTCTTCTACAATCTTTGGGGCTGTGATCCGAAACACAACCAGGTATTATTATTTTTAATTTTCTGCTAATTTTAACTTTCTTTCTATAAAATTTTTCTCCATTGTTTTTCCTTTCACTTATTTACAGCCATTTATAATGTACAATACCCAGAACAAAGTAATAAATAAAACAACATGAATTACTTTTGATCTAATGATCGGATTTTCACATACTAGGAATCAATCCTAATGGTCCTAAGGTGCGATCTCTAATAGATTGCTAATAGATGGTTGTTACCCCCCTAACTTGGGGGACATGAATCATAATCTGTCTAAAAATATCCAAGTTTATTCATAAAAAGTGCGTTTTGTATCTGATTTTGTAAGTTAAAATAATGTCTGCCCCAATTAATTTGTATATTTGAGGTCACACCCACGTACCATTAATTTTGAGACCTAGTATATGAAAATCCGATCATTAGATCAAAAATTATTCAAGGTGATTCATTTATGTATTTATTTATTTTTTCGCACTATGCATTGCTTCCTAAGGCATTAAAGATGCATAAAAGAATTTGAAATAAGGATTAAGGTTAATGTGCATAAAAGAGCCTGAATTTTACATGAACAAACTGATACAGGTTTAAACAGATTCGCATAAATATACCACTTTATCAACATTGTTATTTTTGAATCCCTAAGTTTGAAGTTTGAGATAAAGTTTCGTCCAATTTAAAACTTAAAACCATCAAAAAACTTAATGATAGTTATAATAAGTCAAATATATAAATATATTTGGAAGGAAAATTAGAAGTTGCTCTTATATTTTTAAGACACATTTTTAAGGCAAAAAAAAAAAAAAATCCCGAAGTTTAAGAGTTCTAATATTGCAGTAAGTAGCACTAATTTTAATAGTAACTACAGTACCGAAATAATCATTTTGTTATTTTAACAAATACCATAATCAATACCAATTCACAGAATAACATGTGTTGCATACTTTAAGCAAGCTTTCAATCATTATAAAAGTATTGTATCAGTGAGATAAATTATTTATTTCTATTTTTAATCACCATTTATTTGATTGGTAAGTTTTTTTACCTTAGGAACAATTCATGGGAACTCTGAAATCAAAAAAAAAAGAAATAAGTTAATAAATAAGAATAAAATAAATAAATAAGAATAAAATAAATAAATAAGAATAAAATAAAGAAAAATAGAAATTTTACTATTTAAGTAAAAATCTTAAAGATTTAAGATTATTTTATAAATTTCAATATTCCCACGCGGAGAAAAAAATTTGGGTAAAATAACCACACAGTGCAGTAAGGACATTTCTGGTGTTTGAAAAAAAAATCTGTTAATAAAACAAAAATATACGATATTTAAACCATTCTTAATAATTTTTCTACTCTCATGGTAACGGTTTACAGTAAGTTCATGTTTCAAAATTATGGTTCATGAAAACTAAATTTAACCGAATAATTATTTTTATGCCAGGCTCTGAAATACCATGATAAAATTATCAAATTTCACCACGTTTACCAAATTTATCATTTATTATGAAACCGTATTTTATGGTTAATATTACGAAACTCCAAAACGCTTCAATGAAATATCGAGTTTTTTATTGTTCCCATAAAGACAGAAACATATTAACTTTTACCATATTCTGATAGTTTTGACCTTATTTTTTTCTCAGTGCATATTGCGTCTCAGTGACCCTGTTTTTAGAGGTTTATATTAGACACGATTTAATTTTTTTTTTTTGTTAAGTTTTATATTTAGAACAATCACTATAACTTTGTATATACTTTGTATATAACTATATACTTTGTATATAAAATGCATAGACAAATTTGAATAATATATTTTGCCGAATCACGTGTATAATTTCTGGTTTTTATAGGCTGAAAGAGAAATTCAAAGCTCAGTGCCCTTAGTTGGGATACAAGATCTGAAACGAAAAAATTCAGCTATGTTTAATAAAAGAATGTCTGGAGATTTTGACTCATCATTAGTAGTTCAAGGAGTTTATCGACAAAATGTCGGCAATTGTTAACTGTATAATAATATATAATTAAGTACTTTTACTCATTTTAAAAGCAGCTGCTTCGTCTTGATAGATTTATATCAAATTTTTGTTATATTCTGTGTTAATTCAAAGGATTTTAAATTCTTCGTACTTCCGTTTCTAAAATACTGTCAAATATCATTGATACCATTATACTTTTAACGTCATATTAATTTTTATTTACAACCTTACTGCAACGTTTACATTCATCTGTATTTATAATTCATAACTGTATAAAGTGCATCAGTGTGTAAGTTAATAAACAAATTATGACCATTTGTATCTGCTATTTTTCTATTTTCAGTACTCTAAAACAGGAAAAAAATTTGTTTTTGCCTTCAACTAATGTTACCTAGTACCTACTTAAAAATTTATTTACTGCAAATATAAATCATTTATCCATTTTTTAAATTTTGAATCATTGAAATCGAGCTGTTCATTATTCAAAACAATTATACAGTAATGAAAAATACTGATTCCTAGCTCAACTAGAAGGAACTTGTTTATGATCGAAATTTTGAAAATCAACTACACATTCTCAACAAACAGAGCTTTTAAAATTTCCGAGACATAGCTTTTAAAACGTTACCAATAGTGTGGCCTCACATAAAAAACATTACCAATAGTGTGGCATCACATGAACATTATCAATAGTGTGGTATCACATAAAAAATTGCCAATAGAGTGTCATCACATAAAAAACATTACCAATAGTGTGGCATCACATAAAAAACAATACCAACATTACCAAAAACGTTCGGAGAAATTAGTCGTTAGATTAGCAAAGTCGATAGCAACCACCAGATACCAATATGAATAGAAAACTAGACAATTAGAGTACAAAATGTACTAAAACTGTAAGTACCTATACATCTTGGAAACTTAGTTACATAGTAATTTATAGTTTTTTTTCTTTGCTGAAATGTGAATTATTCGTAAATATTTAAGCAATATTAATGTTTGCATTATTAGTAAAAAGTGCTATCACATCTAAAACACTGAAACAAATGCATTAAAACTTCAAAATTTTTTGGAAAAAATTGTTTTTGTATAATACTTTAAGCTCATATATTTATTTTACTGAATTTATGGGTTAATTTGTAGTGAAAATATTTTAGTAGAAATGTATCAAGAAAATAAACTAATATCAAAATTTGTTGCGTAAAATAACTTTAGATTAGACAAACGTTGTTTCGAAATTCATTTATTAATTTTTGATTAAATTTTTATTCTATATCAATATAAATTTATTTGCATAATGTTACTTTTTATTTGCAAAAGATTTTTCAAGTATTTTAAAGATGGAAATGTGTGGATTTTGCAGAAAAAAAGTACTTCACAGAACGCTGGAAAAAAGTACTTGTTGCACAGGTCGGAAGATTAAAATTAAATGTTAAAATCAGTTGAAAATTTCTAATATAGAATTATTTACTATAATTCAATACAAATTATTGTTCAAAAAATTCATAGTTAGCAATGTATACATTTTAAAATACTTTTATTAAGACAACAATACTTCTAAGAATCATAATATTTATGGAGATAAGTCAAAAAAAGTAAAATAAATGTTAAAGCATTTAACGGAACAATGGCGGACGTATTGCTGCGTAATCTTTTACTTTTTATTTTATCCATAGCAAAAGGGAAAATGTGTAACATATCATGGTTCACATTATCATGTACAGGGTGGAGGCACATGTCTTTGCGTTCAAAAAAAGAAACTAATTGCTTAAGTTTTAACTGAGGTAAATTGCTGCAAAAACTAGATTCAATTACTCTGCTATAGAAAGTAGAGTCGTTAAATATCCATGATATTGGACATTCACAATAAAAACTATTGCCATCAATATTAAATATTGTGTCCTCTGCCGATATGTTCGCATTCGGATTGGGCAATATTGAGTTTAAAGCAACAGATCGAAAAGAATTGTCCGTAAATTCAATCCGATTAGACAAAACCATTTGGAATGCATTTTCTTCACTATACCTTCGCACAATATTTCGATGAAATCGAAATGTACGTCCTCTAGCCCAGAAGATTGTGGCAGGTAAAGATTCGAATGTACAATTCAAAATATTTACTGAGTTTATGTATGCAAGAAAAATACTGTCACTTGCAGAGTAATGAAAATAACAATTTTCAAAAAATACATTATGTGAATCTTTGATTACAAAGGAAAGATTTGCTGCATAAACGATATTGCTATTCATCACTGTAAAATCTAAGACGTTCGTCAAATGTAAAGCTAAGGTATCCAAGTAAAGTAAAGTTGAATTTACGATGACAAAATGAGTCATGTCTATCCCCGTAATAGCAAAACTATCCAATTTTTCTATGGTCACATTTTTCATTATAAAAACTCGAACTTTGTGCAACGCCGTGATTCCAAAGGATTCAATGAAAAGGCTAGAGATGTTTTCAAAACGAATGATTGAATCGACTTTCTTTGTACTAAAAGATCTTCCTGCTATTCCAAAAGATTTAATTACTAAGTTGTTAATGTTTGTAAAAGAAGCTTTTTCCAGGAATGATCCACTTAATGAACCAATAGATACTTCCACCCGATTGCAACCATCCACAGTTACAACTTCTGCTAAATATTTTAAGAAAGGTATCATGGTAAGACTTCCACCATTAGTGCATTTACATTCTACTCTGTTTTCCGTGCACTTGCAATGTTCTTCATCAAAGCATTTCATTCGCGTTACCTCTTCTTCAGTGGCAGCATACAGGCTTAAACACGTTAACCCAATTAATAGAAATAGTAAAACCTAAAAAGAAAAGAAAAGGGTATAAATGACAAAGTATGACGGTGACACTGTACCAACTGCGTTTTATTAGACTTTATCTTACCTCGATATGATGAGCATCTTTGTGGATTTGCAAAAATTTTTTAGGACAACACAAATAAAATAAAGCATTCTACAATTTTTAATAAATAATATAATAAATAATATAAAATATTATAAATCATAAATAACATAAAATATAATAAATAATAAATAATATAAAATATAATAAATAACATAAAATATAATAAATAATAAATAATATGAAATATAATAAATAATAAATCTTCAAATGTTTTGACTCCTTTGTTATTTTTTCTTTCTTTTTTATAACCGTCGTTAAGCAGACGGCTCATTTTTTAGTTTACGACTACTAATGTTCAACTTCACAGCCATGTAATTTGAACTCTATCCAGAAGACAAGGGAACTTTTGGATCAAGTATTGGGAGAAATTTGCCTTCCGGGAGGATATTTTGATTTAACTAACTCGCATTTGCGTTACACGGGAAAGAAAAGCACGAAAACTTTCCACGGTGAGCCTGATGGCAAGAGACTCTAACCCATGATTCCTCTACTACTGAATATATATTTTACGACAGCACCGTGGTCGGTGCGAGACAGGTACGGAATTCGTATCGACCAGCCTTGGAAGCTTGGGAAGAGGACTCCTTAGAAGAAATTTTGATACACACTTGTCCAAATGTGAAACGGTGTTTGCAGGGAACTATTGCGTTTATAATGATTTTAGTATAACGGTTTTAGCATAAAAGTATTGCCTGAAAAAAAAAGGTTACCTTCACGAAGACCATATAGCACTGCTAATTGTTTTAGAAAGTATCATAGTCCAAATATTCGAGGCGCAAGAGAGGATTTATCCTGGAAAATTTGGCGGGAGTCTTTATCTTTTGTACTTATATGTTTTTTTGGGTGCTGAACACGAGCTCACAATTTGGGACCAAAATTTTTCACTGGGAAATATGCTCTTCTTCCAAGAAAGACCTGGAAAATGCAGTAATTTGCATACGCCATCTTTTTGGTTTAAGATAGAAAATTTTCGATGTCATATTTGAAAATTAGAAAAAATTTCCCACTTATTCTATCGTTACAATGTGCCAGTAGTATAACAAATCAAAGAATTAAGAGAATGAGAATAATGACAATAGCATAGGAAAGATGTCTCTCTCAGTGCTTCAAGGGGGAAAAACAGAGGCGAAATATTAATAGAGGTTTGAAATGTTAAAAAACTCTCTTACAGAATCTAGTAATATATAGAAAAGATATTTCAGCCAAGAGGGGAGAACTCCCCTACTGCCCCCCCCCCCAGTAACCATAATTTTTCCTCAAGTATACCCAAAATCATAGTTTTTAGGACATTTTCCATTTTGCCAGTCCTCTTAAATTGAAATTTGTTATAACACTCATCAATTTACAACCAGGTCCTGAGAGGAAGGCTTACCCCTTAACCCCCCTTTAAAAATAACCATTATTTTCATGAAAACTACCGAAAACCATGACTAATAGGGGGCTCTCTTCTTTTAATTTCCATGCAAATAATGCTTTTTTTAGAATTTTATATTTTTTCTAAATAACAAAAAATAAGCCCCTCCCCTAAAATTATTTCTTTCGACAGCATTTCTCGTTTTACATTTAATGGTTATTTTTTTTTTTTAAATTTTTAAGCAATCAAAATTTAGAATAAGACTCGTAACATTTCGATGCGTATAAGAAGTTTACATAAATAATAATTTTTAACAAAGTAAAATAAAATTTATTTAACAAGTTTAGCATGAAATTTATCCTATTCTAATAATAATAATATTCAAAATATCCTAGGCTGTTCACAAAATATCAATACGCTACACACAGCAATTAAGTTATCAGGCACATTCAGACTCGAATGTCTTTGATTTTAATATGTTTATCATTGAACTGATAAAGGCATTAAAATAACAAAATATGCCTGAAATCTTACAAAAATTCTTACATCTTTCTTAAACACGGAATCGATGGAATTGTTATTTTATAAAGCAACCATCATTCTTGCTCTGATATTCATTGTAAATGAATCTGTTCTTTCTGTTGCCTTCAATGGCCAAATGAAATGTATTATATTTAGTAATCCTGTCTCTCGCTCTCTTTGACTCTATGCATTTATTGCATAGAAAATAGAGATTATTATGAAAAAAAGTAAGAAAAGCAAAAAGTAAAAAAAAAAATTCAACAAAAGATTATAATCTAAATAAACTTAACACACAATATACGAATTTAACTAATTTATAATTGCATTGCTTAGTAACGATGAGTTTTTAGGATATTAATTCCAAAATTTTAATTTAGAGAGTATGTTTTGTTTTTGGCAGAAACCTTAAGTCATGGAATTTTTTTAAATAAATAATATTTTTAAGTAACATCATTTTCGGCATATTACAGATGTAACTTTTCAGTCAATGCCTTCGTATTCAAAGCTCAAAACGATAAAGGGAGATTTAAATTTTACTTACAATATTATAAATTTATAGCGCCCATTGCAACCTTATAGCTAACAGTTGCTACTTTTAAAGTTTACGAAAGAAAACTAATCCAATAAAATGAACCAAGTACACATCTATTGTTATAAAATGAACAAAATGAACCAAGTATAAATGAATAAGACGATAACACATTTATTGTTATAATAATTTATAGTTATAATAATGTTGTAAATAAAAAACGAATTTATTTGAATTCATTTGTATATTCTTTAAATAAAAGACCGATACTCAGAACAGAAATTTAAAAAACGGGATCAAATGCTGTGTCCATTTTCTGAAATAGCTATGTCCAGTTTTAACACACATTTCTAACGCTGAGATGTGTTCATTTTCATAAACGCGCATTTTGAAATAGGTTTATTTTCATAAACGCGCCTTTTAAGCTTTGTCTATTTTCGTTAACACTCATTTTGTCATGTGTTATTTTCGTAAATGCGTCTTTTGAACTTTCCATTTTCGTAAACACGCACTTAGAGCATCGTATCTTTACAAATCATGCTCATAAATATTTTAAACGTTTTACTGGCTTTTGTTAAAGGTAATACTTTAATAGTTATTGAATATTATAGTATAAAATATAACTGCTATTTGAATATTATAATATAAAATAGCTACCAGCTCATTCTTGCAAACGAACTGGCTCACTTAACATATTATAATTATAACATCTTTATCTACATATTGCTTAGTATGGAAAGTAATAATTAGATTAACATGCGCAAAACTATAAATTGCCAAGTTCCAATTTCAAGCTTTACAGTTAATATAATGTATCAACATTCATACTCTAATACTAATATATAATATCTGTAGATTTTTTTCAATTTCAAATTCAGTTTTTGGCATCATTTATACCGCAATATTATTCCAACCCAACCAAAAGGTGACTTTGGAGCACCTTTTGGTAATAATGTCAAAACAGGCGAGATTTCAAATTGTCAATTAAGTATAGATAATTTTTGCAACATTTATTTATACATAAAATGAATCACTGTGCGGTCTCTGCTATGATCTACACTAAAAGACAACATGGCAGTAAACGAGAGATTTTATTACTAAGATATATTATGGAAACGTTATTTAAAGTTTAAAACTATTTTACGGTGGCAAAATTTTATTATTAAAAATGTTTCTTACCTTGAAAAACATACTGACGATAGCTTGTCCACCGAATATTCTTTCGAATATTCTTCAAATTCAATATAACGTTTAAGGAAGCCTTTTCATATGTTTGACGGGAAGTAATGTTACACATCCGGTCCTTTCCGGAAGCAATTTTTGTTTTTAGTAAGGGGTCAAGAAATAATTGTAGCAATGAAAGCCTACTAAATTACAAGCAATTCATTTTCTTCCTGTTTAATTATCAGGCTGTATATTCCAGAAATTTGCATAACTTATGCTTAAGAATAATGCCTTTTTTTTAATTAAAACAAATCATCAGATTATGCATTAAAGACATTTTGTTACCACTTCTCTTTGTTTTCATCATTTTTAATTCATAGTTTTTATTTAAAACTACCCTAAACTTCTCAAGAGTCAATTTAACCTATATTTTATGATAAATTTTTATGACTGGGGTCGAAATGCAATACGAAACCTTACTTTGAGTTTTGGTTTAATAATACCAGACATGAAAATTTAAAGGAATTTGCATTTTTTTAAAAAAATTAATTATAATAGATTGCACATAGTAACAAAAATATGTACTTCCCTTACAAATAATGAAGCTTAAATAAAAACTTCAAAATTTTGTTTATACTTCGTTTCTTTAGTGATACATAATTTATTTTTGTACTTGCATTTAAAAGTAAAGGGAAAAGTACTATTACTTAAAATATTACTTTCCCTTTAAAATAATTAAAATAATTTTCATAATTTGTATTTAATGTCTAAGTTTCTGAACTAAGTAACTGAATAAACATAATATTTACATTATACATCACATTTATTTTATACATTTCAAACTCATATTTCTATCTCTAAAGCCTCTTTAAAGCAGTTCAATATTCTTAAGTAAATTGTACACAACCAGCAGGGTAATTTTCGATCTTTTTGTTGCATATTTTGTACCTCGCATTTGTATTGCATTTGTTTTGATCAGGCTATGTGTAAAAAACATGCTGGGTTGCCGTGAATAAAGTATACCTGTTTTAATGTTTTTTTACCTTTTCTTTCTAATATGTAACTTATAACATAATTCGTAAATAGATCTGAATAGGAAAATGAATGCAATCCAATGCGAACATTTCTTAAAATATGTGTTTTATTTCGAATAAAACAAAAATTAAATTCTTAGCTTTCTTTTTAAATAAGTTTTTATGCTGCTGCACATTTTGAGTTTTTGTAAGTGTACTTTCTGTTTTCTTAAGTGTACTTAAACATTTCTTTTCTGCTCTTCGCTTGTAATTTTTATTTGTTCGTTTTCAAAAACTGCACTCTTTATTCTTCGAAATTTTCTAGATTTTTCATTAAAAAATTATTAAATTAGCTTCAAATGTTTGTACCGTGCTCAAAATAAATAAAACATTACACATAAAGCTTTATTTATAAAACGATCTACTTAATAGTATACTTTGAAGGATCGATATAAGTTATTCTGAATGATTACCACTATTAGTACTGACGATAGCTTATGTAACAAAATTAGTTACAGAAAGCATTTTCTCTTAATAAGAATACCTTTTTATTCGTGGATTTTGGTTTTTAACTGTGAAAATACGAGGAAAGAACAGCCACTATCTGTAAATGCTCGGACTGTTTTGTCAGGAAACTAATCAAAATTCTAGTCCTTCCCCTCCCCCCGAATATTATTATTACTTTTTGCATCCATTTCTATATCTCTGGTTTTTATAAAAATCCTTAAAAAATTACACAAAAATTTTAAAACATTTTGCTGTATAGTTGGCATCATTTTTGATATTGAGTTAGACAAAATACATTAGGTACAAAACTGTAGCCATCTTGAAAACAATTATATTAAATTGACGAAATAACAATTGTTTGAAAGAATTGAAGAGAATATATTACTAAAAATGAGTTTTAATTTGAAACGGAAAGTTTTTGCAATGAAGCCATAATTTGATTCTAATGCGCATGAAAATATGCAGTAAACAAACAAACATTGTCAGTAAACAAACAAACAAGAAATGAATAAACAAAGCTATAACAGTGAAAAAGCTGTTAAAAGAAGTGGCTACATATACTGCAAAAAAATTTTGTTAACCTTAACACCAAAAATGGTGGCAACTATACACCAAAATTGTTTACTGTGAACCTAAAAATAATAGTTTGCAAAAATTATTCTTTAATAATAAATTATTATTCAGTTTAATAAAGATGCAAAATATTCTTATCCTTTAAGTAAATTTAGATATTATAACCTAAAATATTATAAAAAATTATGAAAATAATTTATGAAAAATAATTGTTGCTTTATTTTACATTTTTCAATCTACTTCTGGACATTATGCTATTATGAGAAGAATTTTATAATCTCCATGGTTGATTAGCATGTTTTTAAATGTTTTTATGTATGTGTATGATTTTTTGCTCACACAAGGCACTACAATCAATAAATTAATAAATGTAATTATTTCTGAAGACATTTATTCCACTAAATAATTAAACTTCAGCTCACCTTGTTTTAACTCATATTTTGATTATGGAACTCATATTTAACTTATATTTGATCATGGTTAATTGAAATGTATCCTTATAATCATTTAACTTCTATCATAATTATTATTTTATAAGCTTTAGGTATCTTCTTTGGAAAAAGGCTTCATGTTAAATTACCAAAATTACATTTTGTTTTAGCATTATACTCAGTTCCGGAGAGATTAATTTTGCCCAATTTGCAACAATATTTTACTACTAAATGAATGATCCTCAGAAACGGAAGAGGAAAGGTACGCTTATTATAAAACCTTCGCTTGAATCAAAAAAATGTAAAGATGGAAATTAAATTCGATACGCTCATTCTCATGACTCACCAGAAGTGATGATGAAATAAAAACTGATTTGAAACAGAAAACGTAAAGTTGCCAACGAAAAAATTTTAAAAAATAAAATTAAAAAACAAAACAAGATAAACCGAGATAGCCGATGGTAAAACAGAAATAGAAAAATAAATAAAGGTGAAAAGAAAAATAGACCTGCTTTCACCTTCATGTTTGATTTTTCGTTGACTGTTTCAAAATACTTTTGTTGACCTTATTCTCTGGCGAGTCGTAAGAATGGACGCCTATTTTTGAGTGCTCGAAACTTGTAGACTTTTATTACCATCTTCATATTTTTTGAAGCAAAAGGAAGTTTTATATAATTAAAAATATTCTACCATCTTAATTCAAAGCCTATTTTTTTATACTAATATGTCACTTGTCGTAAATTTTTCATACCAACTCATCTTATAGTCACAATCTACCTTATTCAATAAGACTATAACCAATTATGAGATCCGAATCAATGTTATTATTACAAATTTTAAGATATTGAAAAAAATTTTTATTTAAATTTTAGTACACCTTTTTAATTAATTTAACTATCAATAAGAATTCAAGCAAAGCTATTTCTTATATGCTTAAATAAAATTCAATGTAAATCTTCTGCCGGGTGTTTCAAAAATAACCTACAACTGGAAATATCGATTTAAAAACATAATTAAAAATTTTGTCAACAAAAAGCACTGCTACGTGAGAAAAACAATGCATTTTAAACTACTGTTCCTTATAGCAACATCATGATGAGCTCTTTTAACAAGTTCCACAATCACATTTTTAAATTTAATAAATTCTGGTTTTCGAAGCAGAACGCAGTAAATCAAAATTTTCCATGTCCTTTAGTTTTTAATTAATTCTTCAAGCATTCGATTATTTTGGGAAACTCAGTATTAAAAAACATAAATGCGCAACTTGCAAAACAAAGAAAAATATTTTGAGTTGAAATAACATGAAATAACCTAATGAAATAACACATAGAAATATGTTGCAATTTTGTGTCAGTCAAAAAAAAAGTATTATTTATTAATTTTATTTTAAATTTGATCTTTTACATATCTGTATGTCAATGATAGTTAAAACAGTTAAAACTTAATTCGAATACACATATTAAATATTATTCTGAAAACAATAAAAAAATATCAACCAATTAGAACAGTATCAACAATTATACATATTAAATATATTAAATATTATTATATTACATATTAAATACACATATTAAATATTATTCCGAAAACAATAAAAAAATATTAACCATTTACGACAGTATCAACAATTATAATCAAATATGTACAATCCAAATACATGAATGAGCAAACAGTTACATTTTTCCTTTTTTTAAAAACATGCATGATTTATATTTCATACCAACCTGTAATCTACAAGAATTTAAAAAGATAAATGCAGATAAAGGAAATTTTGCTGAGTTAATTTTAATCAATAATGAAATCAACAGAGACATATCATGAATAATAATGAATTATTATCATTCTTAAAATGTATTCTTACAAGACGATGTAATTCATACAATAAATAACAGATCAAATAATAAAATACATATCGTCGCTTTGAAACTAAACCGTGGTAACTCAAAAAAGCAAGTTTTTCAGGAGAGCGATTTCAAACTTTCCTCGCTAATGCTAATCGCGGCAATGCGATGACGATTTATCTGCTATCTAAATTAACTTTATGGAACTATAAAGATAACAGGTTATTTTTCTAAAAGGGTGACTTTTTTTACACAAAATGACCCAAAAATATCATTTTTCGACTTTTTTTAGTTACAACGGTTTAGTTTCAAAGCGACGATATGTCATAAACAGTAATTTCTATGAATAAATTTATAGAAAGATGATCTCCCCACTGATGGAACATGAAAAGGTACTACTCTGAAATTAAAAACTTTTATACCTTAATATATAATAATTACGTTGTTTCATGATTGTTAGTTAGTATATACAAATATTGTATTGTGTATTATAAATGATTCAGTGCTTACATCAGCATAAATTTAAAATACTCCGAATTCAAAAGGTTAACATGTATGTGTGCATTATTTACAATTTCAATGAAAAAGCGGAGCAATTTATTTTAAGACTGAAAATATTTTTGCATTTTTTCTTCAAGTTTCACAATTATTGACATTGTGATGATTTTTTTAAATGTAAACATTTACATAAAAGATTATTTACGTGAAAAGTGAACATTTATCATCTCGTCACCTTCTGGCATCGCACTTGTTTCGAACTTGTTATAAACATCGTCGGAAAATGGTTATTCAGAGCAATGTTTGCAGTAAATGCTCATAATTGTCACTACCTACATTGTAGAAAAAAAGTCTTACTAGTATTGAAGGGCAATGTGAGCTTGGGGAAGCATGGCCGGTAGCAGAAAGTTATTTTGCAGCTGTAATTTTGACTTTAAGAAAGTTTTTACAAATAATAATTTTTGAAGACGACTGCTGTTAGTAATAAAATTTCACTTCATGCACCAACCTATTTCAAAATGTTCATACGCAATTATTTAGATGTCAATTTTGTGAGACTTAAAAAACTTTTCCAGATTTATTTTAAAAGCTATTACTTGTTATCTTCTTCTTACGAGGCGTTAATAGAATCAATAACCAATTGTTGTTCGACTCTCCATTGTCTATAAAATGCCTGACATAGCTAGAACTGTTTGTCAATGACCCCTTTCAAGCTATGAAAACATGTATTGCTATTGGTACTCACAATTTTGAGGATTTCTTGTAAACATTTCTCAGACAAAAATAATTATGTAGCGTCAGTTCCATTTTGACACCAGAAGATGTTTACAAGTTAAAGTTTTATTGTTGGAACAAAGTTAATAAAGTTTTTTTTTAATTTAAATATGACCACAGCATAGTTTTATGAGGTTGCTCTGGTAGTATTTAATATATATCTTTATCTAACTGATTCACATATTGTAAGATAAATAGGATTTTCCATTAAACAATTTCAGATTAATTCCATATATGATCATTCACTAGAACTTTATTTATCATTACTTTTTAATCAAATATTGGCTCAAAACAATATCAGTCTGTTATTAAATATACAAAACAGCGGAGAAGAGCTAAAATTCATTGTATAAACATAAACGACCAAGAAAATTTAAAAGAAATGGCGATTGTGAGCGGGAAATGTGTAATGTTGTTCTAAAGTATTCTTTATTGATACAAATTTCACAAGTAAACCAAGCTCATGTATAAAAGCTTTTATAAAAAGCATCATATTGTCTATTAAAATTATTGTTAACATTACGTTGAGGACTCATGGTTTATCGAATGCTAGCTTTACACATATTATATCTTCTTCTATGAAAAAAAAATGGTTTAAAAAGTAGAAAAATTGGAAGTTGTGCAAAGGTTGAGACAAAGAGGAGCAAATTTATATCAATAAAGAAATCCTGTTACATGAATATTAGTTCATTTAAACATTCTCGAAAATCAACAGTCTTTATTTTTTTAAACTTTTCTCCAACACGCCTTTGCAATGACACTTTATACCCATAATGATATGAATGATCAAAAAATTTGTACTAAGTCACGTGAAAACTTTTATATCATGTGCCTGCACTTGATACTAATTTGGCTAATACTTCACGGGTGTATTTACAAATGAAAATGATACAAATATTAATATTATGTAGAGAAGAGTTGGAAAAAACCGGATAAATGGATAAAACCGGTAACCGCCATTTACGACTAAATTACTCTAACCGTCATAAGAAATCACATCAAATATGTGGCATGCTCTCGCCATACTATTTGAAGATGAAGTAAACACAAAACCGCATTCGTCGACGCCTGCGTCTATTAGGAACATTATGACTTTTACACCGGCAATTTATTTCTGCAGATTTTTTTTCTTCCAATTATTAAAGCAAGTTTTGCATCACTTTTAAAATATATAAAGTATTTTTTAATATATTTCACTAAATAGTGTTGTCAATTAAAACCAGGGTTTTTTTCAATCACACATAACTGGCCAGCTATATTCCAAGTCAAAATTCCTAGAAGGTTGGATACAGTATATCAACTGTAAACGATGAGCACGTGAAGACTGTACTAGTAGCATTGCCGAAGAACATGATCAAAGTTTTATTTGTGGTTTCTGATCTTTAATCTTATCAACTTACTTAATTTGCGATATATTCTAAATATATTCCTTTAGCTCCTTGATTTTTAAAACGATGTATGTTTCTCCGGGTTAATGGATCGCGTAAAATATTTTTCAGAGGGGTAAATATATATTCAGTAGGATAAATAGCTTTAAATTAATATTTCAATAAGAAAAAAAAGTTGTTGTTTTTTTCAATATTTCTATACATTCCCAGTTTCATCGGATGAGAGTTGGATAAAACGAGTTTCACTGTATTTCAAGAAATTATGAATATATCCTCCAAAATAAAGTTTTTTTTTTAAACATTAAATAATTTTTGTTTCAGGAGCTAAAATGGCTATTTTATCATTCAAATAAAAATTCAAGCAATTTTATTCGCGGATTGCTTTAGAAACGAAACATTATGTTGGACCAGGTTTCGTTCAACTCTTCTCTACTCTATTAAAAAAAAAAATTAAATCCATATTATTATTGCACAAATTGCCGCAAATTTAATATGGTAATAAGTTGATCCACATTCGTGAACTTTTTAAAGTCTATCACACGATACTGGTTAAATTTAAACATAATTTTAGTTTTACTCTACACCTCATAAAAGTTGTATCAACTTCGAACAGTATTATTCTCTAAAGTACCGCTATTATAGTTCAACCTTGAGCAGATGTTCTTGAGAGTCTATATTTCATACTTTATTTTTAAACAAAATATGTAAATATATTTCAAATCCCAGTAAACAAATTTCTACATTTCTGAAATAAAAAATGAAGACAAACTGCTATGATATTGAACAATTTCAAATTATGACATTCATAATTTGCTTTAGATGAACTGAGACTTCGCTGTGATTTCTCCTCATAAAGAGATTTTAATACTAAAGCAGAACAAGTTCGATTAGAATCATATATGACAGTAAATTCTGATAGATTTTTTGACAAATCATGCAAACACCAACTGTTTCCAAGATATAAATCATATTCTTCTGGTTCTAACACATCCCATAACCACGAAATGGTACAATCACAGTTGACAAAATTGCAGCAATATGATACATTAATGTGCCGTGTAAAAGCTATTGGAGATAATAATCCCCAAGAATTAACATCTATTTTTTCAATGACGTTATTTTCAAATATTACACGCTTATTCACAATTAAACCCAAAAGTCCTTCTGGCTTCATTGTTACAATTCGATTTCGATCAAAGTTAAATACTTCAATGTCATCCCCAATGAATGTACCACCTTCTAGATAATTGAATCCACAACCAGAAATGCTAAGTTCTTTAACTACATTTAAATTGAAAGAACCATTGTTAGTTTGATTAAGATTATTAGAGAAAATTTCTATAGTACTGGAGTTTTTTATTAAAATGGCTTCGTTCTCCAAAAGACCAAGATTTGAAAAATTTATTTCAAAATATGAAATATTGTACAAAAGAAAGGATTTTGCCTGAATTTGTTCGAAATGACAGTTGCTTATTACGAAGTTTTTGGCATTTGAAAAATGCTCAAATGAATTTGAAGGTATTAAGTCAGATGAAATGTGTCTTAAATTAATTGTGCCGACGTTAACTTCTGTGAAACTGTTGGCTTGCAGATGGAAGTCAGAAATATTAACGAAAATTAAAAAATCCATATAGGTTATTGCAACAAACGCATAAGGCATGATGTAAAGATGATTAATATTGAGAAACTCCAGAGTGCTCAATTCCATGTTGGTCAAAGCATTGAAAGGAACTATAACAAAATCACATCCTGTTATTGATATTTCATTCACATCTTCTAATATTACAGTATTGACAGTGAAATTTTGATAATTATCACAAACGCATTCCATGTGATTATTACTGACTGAGCATAATTCATCACTTTCAAAAGAGGAAGTTGATTCTATTACATTTATTAGAATTATAAGACAAAACAATCCAAGTTCCATCTGAAAAATAAAAAGTATAGTTGAATTTTGTTACCAGGTTATTAATAAGAGGTTTTTGGTTTTAAAACCAACTACATTCAAATTTTTTCGAAATTAAATATTTTCAGCATTTCGTGAACTCACTTTATTCACTTATTTTTTTTAATTCTGTTACCTTTAAGATCTTTTTTCCATATCAAGTAAGTTTTTTTAGCCTATATAAGCAAAATTTAACTTATTATTAAGTTTTTTGGCAGCTTTTAATCCTATATAAAGTTTTACTACTATTATCACTTATTTTTTAAAGTCAAATCAGTTCTTTTTTTTTAGCTTATATAAGTGTAATTTAATTTATTATCAAGTTTTTTGGCAGCTTTAATCCTATATAATTTTTTACTTCAATAATCACTTATTTTTTTATTCTTCGTTTTTAGCCTATATAAGTACAATTCTATTAATTATCAATTAAGTTCTTTTCGGCTTTTTCTTAATTTTATTTATCCTATAGTTAAAAACTTATATGTTTTATATTAAATTATAGTTATTAACTTCGATGAATTATCTAATCTCTTTTATCAAAAACAACTTCTACTCTTTTTTTTTATTCATTTGTTTCCAAATTTTGCCTTTACAAAATAACTTTTTACCACAGTTATACATTTTACTTTAAGTTTCTGTGTAAAAAAACATGTATAATTCTTAAAAAATAATTTTTAAAAAAATTAAAAAAATTTTTTTAACGAAGTTCATTATGTTTATTACATTTAAGTAACAAAGTTTTACACCAAAATGAGAATCATTGCTTTTTTTTCTTCTTCTAGATCGATCTAAAATATTTTGCTTTAAATTTCTAGTTTAAGATAGAAAATATCTTAACATAGTCATAGAGAACCAAAAATACCCAAATACTTTTTTTTATTTTTTTTTCTCCCTCGCAAAATTCCTGAAAATGGAGCAAGAATTAATTTTAAAATCAAACACCTCATAGATATAAAAAAATATAAATATATGGACACAAGATGTGTTGTGCAGTTACGGTGGTATTAAAAAATGTTTGTAGATAACTTTTTTTACGATCTTATTAGTTTGTTATACAAAAGTTGATCAAAATTTTATCAAATTTTTATCACCTCATTTACAGAACTCTGTTTTCTATTAAAAATGCATAATTTCTATCTAAATTATTTTAGCTGAGTTAGTTTAATAGTTTAAAAATACTATTTAAATTCCTTCACTATTTCTTTCAAAGAATACCTTAAAGGTTCAAAAAAAAAATCTTTAAAAAAGAACTAATTCAAAAATAAATTTTCAAGAAAATAATTTCTTTTTATTTAGATTTTATATTGTGTTTTCAAGCAATTTAAAATTTGCATCAAGGGTCGTTGTTAATTAACGTTGGAATAAAAAAACATTTTTGCATCATTTGTTAAATTCTTTGAATTACAAGTAATAAAAATAATCATATTAATTTAATAATTTTCATCCATATTTTTTTTGCATTATTGTTAGTTAGTTTATTTATTATTAGTAAAGATTTCAAAAAATATGTAAACAAATGTTAAAAAAATGGCAAATTTTTTTAAATAATTTCCATTGACAAAATTCATTCAGAAAATTAGAAACCATATATGAATAATAGTTTTCTTCTTCTCATCTAAAAATAAGATGATTTTAACTAATTGGGCTAAAGGTAGCTTAGACAAAAACTACACTAGACCATCGTAATAAAAGTTTTTTCCTTTTTTAAATATTTTGGAACCATAATATTAGTTGGAAAAATCACACTTTTCAAGTAGAATGACTTAAGTTAGAACTACTAAATTAACAAAATATTTTCTTTAAAAAAAAGAAATAACCTTTATAGTTTCTTACAAAAGGCAGACCAAAATACATATTTGTTCTTATCGTGACATTTTTCAGTAAAATGAAAAAATCTCGCGTTCAGACTCATATGCATTTAAGAAATGGTGCATTGTATAGAAATTGAACAATCTAAACAATGTTTGATGAAAAAACTGAGTTCTTAAATACACATTTTAGTCGTTAGAATTTTATTTAAATAATAAAATATTTTATTAATTAAGTAGTTGTAACTTCTGAAAAGCACATCTTTATATGATTTCATTGAAGTTTAAATATCTTATGCTGCTTTCCATTTCATAACATGGTGGTCTTGGCTCCTAGAAGCTTTTGACTTTTACAGATTCCCGTATTCTGAAGTTATTTCAGGTAATTGTAAAAAGGGGATTAAATTTTTTTTCTATTTCTCATTACGAATGCTAATAAATAGCCATTGATATTAATGAAGACAATGGAATCAAACAACCAGTTGAACTCTTTTCATAATAATTAGGGTATAAGGTGTTCCACAAAGGTCAAGGTTTTTAAAATCTTTATCAAAAATGAAAGCCAAAAAGTAAACATATTGTGGTTCACAAATTTGTATTTAACCCGGGAAGAAACAAAAATATTTTCAAAATCTGACAAATCACAGTATAAGAAGGCGAGGTCAATAAACAATAAAACAGGTTTTATTGCGAGAAGAAACAGAGAGTTATGGAAAAACGACTAATAGAAGCACCTTTTTATTTATAACTTCAAATAACCTGTTTTTTTTTTTTTTTTTTTTTTTTTTTTTTTTTTTTTTTTTTTTTTTTTTNATTTTTTTTTTTTTTTTTTTTTTTTTTTTTTTTTTTTTGTTTATTACATTTTCTATCTTCTACAGTGGTAGTTAATTAAATTTCAATGGCTTTTCTTTTATTGGTTTTTTCCTTAGTAAAACATTAATTTGCGACCCCCGATTTGCCTACTTTAGTTTTCAATTCTGATAAGGATTCTAAAAATACGTATTAAAGTCGGTCTCTGAGAAGATCTTTTACAAAGTTTTATGAAGAATATTTTTGCATTTCAACATGCTTTAAAACAGAATGTTTCCTTTATAGCTTTAAGGTCACCTTGTACACTTTTCCAATTTCCACCCCTTTGACAGCTGTATTCTAAATATGTAATACAAAATAAGCGCAAGAATTGCATTGGAATGACTGTAGATTTCTTACTGCAAAAAAGTTGAAAGTGGTTATGCTGCGCAAAACACAAATGACATTTATTTCTCGAGGGAACTAAAGCAAATAGTGTCAAAAATTGTCAAGTAAAACAAACAAAAGGAACATTATATAGGAAAAAAAAAAACAGTAGGATGTTCCGCACTCGTGAAAACCATAATAACCTGATCTGGGCGAACCCAAGAGGGAAAAAAATCCACAAAAACCTTTCAAGTTTCTTTATTGCATCATTACAAAAAGAAATTAGAAAGAAAAAAAAAAGATAAATAGGGAAAAAAAGTAATTTTGCAAAAGAGGCAGATTTCAAGAATAAATTTTCATAAAGTAAGTCCTCTCTTATTATTTAAATCTTTATTGTATCTTTATTTTGCACGTATGAGGTATTCATAATCTAAATCCAGTGTCGCTTACTAATAGTAATTTTGAATTAAATAATTATTTAAATTTTATGACTTATCGTGGCCACGTTTTAAACAATAAATTTCATTTAAATTGCTTATCTGACTAACTAATTTTATTTAATTAATGATCGACACTGCTCATGATATGATAGCTAGGGTAAAAAAAAGCGATATTTATCATTTATTTATTTTTGAAATTTTATTATATTTTTTGCTTATTTTCCGAAATTTATTTTTAATATGATGTTATGCAAACTATATTTAAACGCTTTTCTCAAAATAGACACCTGTTTTCATATTTTTATTTTAGAGAAGTTTTGTAATGCGAAATGCCAAATAAAATTTTTTTTTCAATTTATTTCATCTATCTGTTTTGATTTAAACATGAAAGCAAATTTAAAAAATAGATCTCAATTCAGTTAAAAAAAATTTTAAATTAATATAAAACTTTAACTAATCCAAATTTTATGATATATAGGGAACTTTCAAACTTTTTTCTTTAAAAGATTCGGTGCATCAATTTGAAGCAGTATTTTTAAATTTTACTTATGTAAATATGTTTGCGAGACAGATCTATTAACGAAGGTTAAATTATCACCCATTCATTACGAAATTTTGAAGAGAAGATGATCGACAGGATATTCTCTTTTTTTAAAACTGGAAAGCCCTCCTAACATCGCACTTAACTTACTTGAGCACCAAATGGAAAACGTATAAGAGGAAGGCTGAGACTTACTTTGAAAAAAGATATATACACCAAGATCTGTGGAAAATGGAACTAAATGATAGAGAAGAGGACGGGGGTGTCTGGAAAAAAGGACTTGAGGCGTTATGTGACATATGGCGCGAAGAGGATAAATAGGTAGGTAAATATTTTTGCAGGGCTTATAATATTTTTTATCTAGACATTGAATATAAGAAAAAAATAATGTTTGTAGATATAAAATAAAACAACATTCCTTTCCTTTTCTTTTAATCAAATACATGTTTTTTATAATCATTAAATTAAAATTGTGTAAAACTATAATTTTAAAAATACTTGTGTTCTGAAAATAGTAATAAAAATGTATTTTTAATATTTAAATTGCTACACAACAATAAGTTACTCCAGCTATGAAATTATTATATTTTAATGCAAAGATCCGCTCAAGTTTGTGCTAGTTAGCAAAAGAAAGAAACAGTATTAAAAGGATTAATTCAAACTGGGAAAACGAGCAATTTTTTTTTTTTTTTTTTTTTTTTTTTGAACAGTGGGTGGAAAGAGAAGCAAGAATTTTAGGCTATACTGGACAGGAAAAGGTTGATAAATGAATTTTCGGCATGATTTCATCTAAATTGGAACAGAATTTGTAGTTAGAATTCATTTATTAAGTAAAATTATTTTCTATGAAATTTATCATGTTTCGTCATAAATTATTCATTTGCCAACACCATTAGCAGTTTGGACATAATGTCGAAACCCGTCACAATCCAACTATTATTTTTATTATTTTTTATAACAAAAGTTCCGTTATTAACCTCACAAAAAATCAAGTGTATATCAAAGAAATTGTGAATGAGCACTTAGCAAAAGCAAAGCATTCCTGCCACAGCCCGTGATCCTCGTGACCAACGGCATGATAGTAACAATTTGATCAACACAACACTCAAGCTGTCTTTACTTTCCAGACAAGCTGGTACCCATCTATCTGAAGCTGGATATGCTTCACGCCGCCACTGGGGACCGAACCTAGGCTCATCACAATGACAGCTCAGTGACTTAACCATTGAGACATCGTTGCACAATTAATACTCAAAAGTAAACAAAAAGTACCTTCTACTCGTGTTATAGGAGTTGTGCTGGACCCTTTTCATATCTAAATTTTGGCTTCGAGTGTTACAGTCAGATTGATAATCTAAAAACAACATTTAAATACTCAAACGCTTTGCAGTATATTTTTTTGTATACTATAAAATTACTTATCGAACCAAATTACACTTATCAGAGTTGTATATGTAAGAGTAAAAATTCACTGTTTTTTTTTAATTCATAACATATAAATTACAACGAATAATAAAATTATAGTGTATTACACTAAAGTAAAAGATTTTTATAGAATATAACATTTCCTATATTTAAAAGATTGCGACATTCCTCTTGCAATATAGGGAATTAAAATTATTAAATATTACGCATGTATTGTACCTCTTAACACGTCCCAAGCTACAACATACTTTATAGTCCTAAAATATTATAAACACATGGTTTAAATAAAATCAAAATTTTGAACAATTTAATAGAGCTATTATAATTTTTTCATCTATTAATTAATTGGAAATCTTATTTTCTAAATCCAAATGAAATTCAATTGAATAGTTTTATAAACTAATGTTCATAAAAAGAATAATTTCGAAGTGTTGAAATTCTTACCAAGATATTAGTTCAATGTTTTTAATGAATAGCAGTGATATAACTTTTGCTTTGCGATTGGTTGAAGTCATATTTACAATTATAAAAAATAATGCAAATGTTGCCTTCATGCTATTAGTAATTATCAGTTTCTTTAGATAGAAGTGTCACCAGGTATGAACCACTGTGAAATATTACACAAAATTTCTATGTACTTCTTACGTTTTTTTAAATAAAATTATAAATCAAAAAAAGACATTATTTATAAAAAAAAAAAAAAAAAAAAAAACATTATGAACTACTTATGGCACCTCGCGCTCTTTTTCATAAGAAACAATAAATTACTAATTCACAACATATTTCCTTTTTTGATGAAATAGGCAACCCATAGTGTTAGACAAATAAATAATAGTTTTGCTTTGATTATTGCTAGTTTTAATTTGAGAAGTATCGCATAAAACTCAATCTAAACTATAAAGTATTTTCCAATAATTTATGAGTTTATAAATTATCTTACGGCATAAATTGAATTAGATAGAATGTGGAATCAGGATTAATAGAATTATATTTTTTAGTCTGAAAAATCAACAATCACTGTAAGAAATTCGGAATAAAATTACGGTAAAAAGTACTGGCATTATGAGTGCAGCACCCGTAAATATTACTGTAAAAATTACAGTATATCAGATTTTTTGTTCCATCAAATTTTACGGTAAAAATGAATTTAACGGTAAAAAGTACTGGTATACTGAGTGCTGGTACTTTTCACCGCAATCTGATGCGAAATTTTTTACAATGTACCTGAAATATTAAATACTTAATCACTAATTCGAATATGAAATATTTAATCACAGTGATTTTATAGCAAATATTACTGTATATCACATTTTGGGTGCCATAAAATTCAACGGTAAAAATGGATTTTACCATAATAAGTACTGGCACTCAGGGTGCCATTATTTTTTTAATAGAATTTTTTACAGAGCACATGATAAAAATATATTACCTTGGGATGATTTTAGAACATCTTTATTGCAGTTGTTTACAATTATTTATTTTCAACTATTTCAAAGGCAATACTCAAAATTTGCAACAACGCATAGTGCACAAAGGAAACTGTAACAGCGGACGTTTCCTATCCTTATCTTATATCCTGAGACAGAAAAAATAATAATAAGTTTTCAATTTACTTTTATCCCTCAATTAGTAAATTTTGTGAAATGCTTAATTGAAGCCATTATTTAAAAAAAATTATTGTATTATGAATGTTACATTTAATTTTTGAAATTTTTGACTATATATATATATNCAGTCATTATATATATATATATATATATAATGATATTTTCTTTAATGCTATGAAGTTCTTCTAAACTGAAAAGACTTCAATTTTATATATATATATAATGTTTTTTTTTAAAAATTATAATGTCAGAAAACAGTGCTACATAAACGGAAAGTTACGATTAATAAAAAAGAAGTTTTTAATTAATTTTATACTTCAATTAGTAAATTTTGTGAAATGGTAACGTATTAAAGGCATTAAAATAAATATATCATTATAAATGTTACAGTTATCATCCTTTTTATAAAAATTTTTAATTACTTTTGACTATTTTTTAATGTATAATATACTCTTCAATGCTGCGAGGTTGTCTTAAATTCGAAGAAAATTAACTATTTTAACATATTTTTTTTATTTTATGCAACATTGTTACATAAAAAAAAAGTAACGAAACAAAATGAACAAGTAGAAGTTAGCGAGTTTATCACCATCTCACTTCCACTGCTTTAAACGTGTGAAATTAGTTAAAGGATTAAACGCTTTGTCAAAAAGGAAACTGTAAGAAGAGCGTTTTTTTCTTCTTTTTTTTTTAATTACTGACTTAATTCAAATGTTCTGTGGACAGTAAGCAATTCATGGATGAAACACTTTTATAAAGAAGAATTGCTATTTCATAAAATTTATTAAAAAATTTTGTATTATTGGCATTCTAAAAAAAAAAAATATTATAATAATTATACGTATCAAAACGTGTAAGTCACATAGAATATGTTTCAGATAAATCAAACAAAGAATATAACTCAGCAAAGAATATAACTCTGGTCATTTGACTGGTCATTCATAAAAAAATTTTGTATTATTGGCATTCTAAAAAAAAAAAATATTATTATGATTATACGTATCAAAACGTGTAAGTCACATAGAATATGTTTCAGATAAATCAAACAAAGAATATAACTCAGCAAAGAATATAACTCTGGTCATTTTCTGTAGAACCCCGAAAAATTATTAGGTTAATTGTAGGGATTTTAAATGAACGTTTATTTTCAAACACTGTTTACCAAAGAATTCCTGTTTTTTTTCTTCTTTGTTATTTATCTTATGTGATTACTTTATAAGAAATAAAAAAAAATTAATAAAATAAAATTGTCAACCTGCATTTTTTATAAATTTATTATTGTCAGAACGGGAAAAAAATACGTTTAGAGTTTAGTACTTTTGTAAAATTTAGTATCTTCTTACTTTTAATGATTGTTATTTTAGAATAAATATAACAATATAACGGTAATAAAAACCATAAAAAAAACCAATTTATCAAATTATTGGTAATTGAAATCTGATCTAATCTTAGCAATTACATGCATCATAAATAGAATTAAATATTAACTTACTCCTAAATAAATAAAACGTTTTGAGTTTTGTTGTTTTTGAATTGGTTAAAAAGCTTCTTTTATAAATTAAATAAATCATTTTACCTACTAAGAGTAACGATTCAAATGTAGAAATGAAATTATTAATATTAATTAGAAAAAAAATACTAATAATAACTTATGAAACTAACAATAATGTATGAAAAAAAGAAATATATATTAAAATAAAAATATACTTAAAAAGCGAGACACCAGACGAAGACAACCGGAAATTTAGAACAAAATTTAAGCCCATCATAGAAGAATTTTCTGACTGAAAATCGAGAAAGTGTTTGATTTGAAAGTCACACCTTTTTTTTTTTTATATACAAACCTGTAAGTTATAACCACTTTTAGAGCACCCTAAATTAATTAAATATATCTTATTTAACCCTAAAATTCAAGGATATTTTCCATGTGAAGCATTTATGACCAAATTCAAATAAGTTATTCTCTATATCTTATGCTACAGTATTTCCTTAAAATGATCTCCCATAGCCATCAATAAAGATAAAGTGATTTGAAGCTGTGGTGTGCCAACCAGGGGGTGGGCAATCACCCCTCTGAAATTTTAGCAAGGAGGCAAATTATTATGCATTTATGCACCTTCTGAAATTTAGACATTAGCTTAAATAAAGTCTAATAAAAAAAAATGTCAACTTTGAAGCTTTGTTCAAATAGAAAACTTAATATTCCTCCTGAGATTTAAGTGAGGGGGTTTATAATGTTTTTCAGCCCTTCTGATATTCAGACATTTGCGACAATAAAATCAAGTAAAATTGGTAATTTTAGAACGAAACAACTTTTGTTTTCATCGGGAACTAAAGCGAAGAAGAGAATAATATGCTTCACCCATTCTGAATTTTTGACATTCGCGAAAATTAAGTCAAGTAAATTTGGTAAAAAAAATAACTTTTTTTAAAAAAATTTAGAAACTGTTTTCTAAACAAAACAGAAAATTTTATTTTCCTGAGAGATGTGTCTGCTCTCTTTTTTGATCAAATTGTGACCAGCACCTTGAAAGGATGCAAAAAAGAAAGCGACAACGGTCCTGATCATATGAAGTAACCGACATAAAACTCTAGCTGACAAAGATCTGACGTATTAATTTAATTTGTCTTTAAATTATAAAATCCTCAGTCTTTTAGAAACTTGTAACTTAGATATGCCTAGAATTACATTTTTTTCACTTGTATTCACCTCACCCCTTCCAGGAATAAAGGCATTGTGTTGGTTTGTCTGTCAAGGTGTTGAAATTACGAACGTCGCTACCGGGGCGAGTAGTACGAACCATACTATAACCATCTAGAAGGTTATGTACGAATCCCCATAATCAAGAAGCCAGAAACCAACATTTTGGGCAAGTTTATTTTCATTTTTTTACCTATCACAAATTTTTATATAAATAAACAAAAATAAAAAATAAATACTAAGTACACCAGAAAAAACGCAATGCATAAAAAAAACTGAACTAGTGTTAAGAAAAAATTGCCATTCTGTTACCCTTCCCTCAAAGAGCCCTACCATTTTTCTCCCTGTTTTTCAATGACAAAATTTTTTTTAACATCCCTCTACTTTCAACAACCGGAACCACTCACAGAGAGCGGACTACTCGCAATTAGCTGCATTATATGGGGAAACGTACTCGGCTTCGTTAAATCGCTACTATCATTTTCATGGCCTTGGGCTTTTTGGACCTCTTTTTAAAATATCAGATATCGACTGAATAATTTCTTTGATGGATACTTATTCATAAATTGTTTCAAGTCAACAGCTATTTAGAATTTTTTTTTTAAAAAAAAAAGGATTTATAAAGTTTAGGAATCTGAATAGGGGAAGACTAGTTAACATTTTCCTTGGTCACACTCACTTCAATTCCAATTTTCTTTTATGTCTGCATAGTTTAAATAAGCAATTTTTAACTCAAACTTCTGACGAGTAAAAATTTTTTGTTGACTTTTATTTTGTTTAAATAATTGTAACGAAAATTACTATTTTTCTCATAAATTTGATAAACTTGCACTTTTTTAAAAAATATTTATCATTCTCTAAATAAATAGTGCCATAAAAAATTCTCATTCTTACTGAAGTTTCTTTTTGTATAGCATGAAAACATAAAATAAATTCTTTTAATTTCCTGGGAGGTTAGGAAATGTTAGCATTAATTACTCACTTATTACATTTATAGTAGTGTGTTTACGTAATGTTATAATTGTTTTACATTTACGTTCGTTTAATAATAATTCTTTTTATACGCTCGTCTATTAAATTCATTTATATAGCACATAAGTAGGGTAAACTAACCAGTGAAGGAACATATAAGCTTCGCTTGTCTTTTAAAAAATCATATTAATTTCAAAATTCGTAATTTCAGTTAAATGACAGTGTCAACATATTTGTTACTAATTGCAAACTATGCAAAAAAATTGTAGAGAACTTACATAATATTGTTTTAAAGTTTTGGAGGTTCAAATAACAAGTAGTAAGAAGACCCAGTGAAGGAACAGCTCTTGCCAGTGAAGGAACACAAAATTGCCCAGTAAAGGAACACTTAATTTTGGTTATTTTTTAATGCTCTTTATGAATTTTTTAGCCATACAAATATAATTTCACAAATAGTCTTGTTTTTATTTAACATACAAGTACTTGTAAAATGCTAACTTTTTCTGTAGTCATGAACTAGAAATTAAAGTGATGTTAAATGCAAAATAAATAAAAAAAATCATTCTTTCTTATAATTTGACAGTCAAATCTAATCATTGTGTCATCCGATGCTGTTTATTATCATTATTATTTTATCACCTTTTTGTTCACTCTTTTTCCTCGTATTTCTTGAAGTTTTTTTTTTCTTTTTTAAGTATTTTTTCTTTTTCTTCTCCATATTCTCTTGTTTTAAATTTTTTTTTTAGATCTTTCAGCCTCTTGAAAGTTTTGCCATTTCTCTGAAGTTAGTGCAAAAGGTAATTTATTCGTTTTTCTTCCTATTTGACCTTTCCTTTAATCATCAATATTTGGCCAATTTTAATGGTTCTTCCAAACTTCTGATTTTTCAGCAACATTTCTAGAATGCCTTTCTCGAAAATAGACGGGGGAAAGGTGTCTTGAAATTTGAGGAAAATTCATCTCTTGTTCAAACAGACTTATATTTAGAGGATCTTTAGAAGTACTGATTTTACTCATGGAATCATTTCTTTTTTCAACTAAGAGAGGATCAGCATGAGGACTCATTTCAAATTCGATATCTAAGATGCATTCACTATCAATACTAGCTTCAGTTCCTAAGTTTCACTTAACCAAGTGGTCTTCTTTTAATACGACTTCTTCCATATTGAAAAAAGTACAGGCTCTTGGACATTTTCGATATTAGACTCTTCAGTCAATGCTGCGTTAAAAATTTGCAACAGATCTTGAGGTATTTCCCTCTCAAGCTTCTGAAGAAATTGAGTATCGTTTCTGTTTAACTCTGTTTTTTGTTGAGGAGCTTGCTTCTAAATTCTAGCATAGTAAATTAGTTTTTATAAATTATATAATCACGTTGCTATCCTATAATGATAGCTCATTAGGAATTCTTGGTGCAAAAGCCAAGCTAAAAAATGTTCTATTCAAATTTTTATGATTAAATGTAATTAGTTTTCAATTTGTAAACATAATTCATTAGGTTACCTAACATTTGATGTAAGTACACACCCCATTAATAAATATAAATTATAATTTTTTCATAAATTAAGCTATTAAATTAACATTTCGAGCTGAAATTATTTCAGGAATTATTCATACAATTTTTAACAAAATTTTGATTGTCCTCTATACAGCAGAATTACTTATCCTAGAGTCATGTAAAATCATATTTAACACATTACTGTTCATTCCCTGGAAGTATTCCCAGTGAAGGAACATGCCTGTTTCTTCAGTGGTTAGAAGTTGTTTTTTT